AAATATTTCAGACTATGTTCCACTTTTTTAGTATCTACAGGATCAGCCTTCTTGCGCCTAAATATTAATTCAGCAGATTAAGCAGCAATTTTATCTTGTAACTAAAAACCACTCATTCTTGTGAATGTCTTTTTTATCCCTGGTCGACCCTTGACAAAACCTTAATTGATTGTTAATGTTTCTCTTCCTTTGATTTAAGATGGTCGCTTAAAAAGATACTATATTTTTTTATTTTGTGGATCAATTAGTTGTGGGATGTCGGATTTATCAGGAATTCTGTCAATTAAATCTATAGAGAAGTGGGAACAATACAAACTTAGTGGCAAAAGAAAAAGTGTAGAAACCACCAAATCATTGATGCCAAACAAGAGGGCAGAATATATAGATGAAGTCGAACTTTCCTTCTCCAACCCAAACAAACGTCCTGAGAAATTATCCATCTTATCACTTCCCCAACTCCAAGCCCCTTCCTGTTCAAAATTCGAATCTCCATTAACCCAAATGGATAAACCATGAACATTAAACCATCACCATCACCACCACCATCCTCATCATTATCGCCATCCACCTCTAGCTAGGGGTGGAAATGGGTCGGGTCGGGTCGATTTTTGCCTTAACTCAAACCCAATCTAACATGATCGGTTTGATCAAAATTTAACCCAACCTAACCCGCATAAAGGTTGAAACCCAATCCAACCCAACCCAACCCAACCCAACCTATCAAGTAGCAATCGGGTTGGATTGAGTTGGTCGGTTTGGGACAACTTGTCTACAAAAATTAAAGTCATCCAATTTTCTATTATACTAAATTTGAATAGATAAGATTAAAAAAATAAGTAAATAAATAAATAATAAAATTATCTATTATCTTCTTCAATCCTCATAAGCCGAGCCTGCAAAGAACAAAGTGCATTTAACATAATATGGAAAACTTATACTACATTTCTTGTAGGAAGAACAATAAGCTCCTCCTCTAAAATGTACCAAGGTAATTACGGTTACACTATTCACTCATACTTTTTAAATTCCTTTTACTTTTTAGGCATTTTATTTATTTTTATTTTTTAAAGTAGGCGGGTTGGGTTGGGCAAGTTTATTCGATTTTCATGAGTTAACCCATAACCTGACCCGCCTGCACAACCAACCCATCAAACCCGTGTAAAAAAAAAAACCGACCCAAATTGGTCGGGTTGGTTCGATTTTGAAGGGTTCGGTCGGGTTTTGCCCATCCTTACCTCTGGCCATTTTTATTAACTACTCTCCATTGGGTTTTATTGCCACCACCTCTAAACCTCTATTTCGGAATCAAACCACCACCAACCCCTCCAACACCTTCCTCACCACAGCCACCGGCAAGAATTTTTTTCCAATTCCCGAGAGCAAATACTCACACTCCTTCAACAAAGGAAAACTTAAGAGGCCTGGCTAGTTTACACACAATATGGAGACCTCCCCTGTCCCAGCTGCTTAAGTTGTTCGGTCTATAATTATCCTATCAAACTACCAACGTGGAACGCACCAGGGCCGAGTCCATTATCCAACGCCTCTGGCAGGAGCTATAGCTCCACTACTTGGATGCTAATTCCCTCAACTCCTTGAGGTAGCAGCCGTTAATGGCAGGCAAACCCTCTACGCCACCTGCATTATCAAGTCCATACTTAAGTCTGGGTACTCCCCCATGTTAAGTCATGAACTGCTGTAACGACCCTATTCAATTCGTGACTAGAAGGATATATGAATTTGTAGATTCTAAGATGGTTAAGGACTTGAGGCCAGACAAGGGTGCTTAAAATGATGTGGTCAATGCTTGTGCCAATCTTGGTGCACCAAGAATTTTCTGCAATTGTTTGACAAAATATCAGAATTTGGATGTGAACCAAATTCTTTGACATATGACACCATGATCAAGCTCTATGCTAGAGTCCAAAGGAAAGATTTGCTCTTGTTTGTTTTAGATTGGATAATAGAAAATTGGATACCTTTATATATGACAACAATGTATTCTCTTGTTGCAGCTTATGTCGGTTTTGGTAATTTTGAGATTGCAGAGCAAATGATTCAGGCAATGAGCGATGGGAAGAAAGACATTTACAGGATTCTAAGGGAGTTGATTTTTGAAGACCAGTATGAAGATGGTGCATCAAATTTCCGTAAACGCAATAATGGTTAACATAGTCTATTATACAAGGCGTGGATATTGGGCAATTTGCTATACTTGAGAATGTGAAGTGCTTGAAGACGTCTAGAATCATCATACATCGCTGAAGAAGCTATAGCAGTAATAGAAGAAATGGGGAAAGTCAGAAAATATTTAGAATAATTCAATTTAGAATTAGCCTGTTAGTTAGAACTGTGCATAACCAATCTCTTTGACCTTGATGATTGACCACGTGAATAAGATGATGGTACAATAAATTCAACAAACCTTAAGTCAGCCAACTCCAATAGCAACGCCTCCAAAAGGCGGGGCTCGAGGGGCAGCGCCCCTCGTGGGGGTTCGGGGGCAATGCCCCTAACGGTGATCGACCTATCCTACTATTATAAATATAAACAATACATAGCAATTTATTAATAAGTAAAATTGTATTTAGTTTGTATAAAACGCTATCGCCTAAATTTAATAATAAGAAAAAGAAGAGTCAATTTGGGAAAGGAAAAAAGAAGAAGGAAGTTTTGTATCCAAAGTTAACAAAAATAAAAATAAAAATAAAAATAAAATAAAATAAATGTCTCGAGTAAAAAAACCGCAAGTCTCCGCGGTGCGTGAAGACACTCTCCGCGCACCGCAGAGACAATTTTTTTTTAATTATAAGATGTCTCAACACATTCATCATAAGACTACTCATCATTTTTCTTGTGTGTATTGCATCTAAACTGGGGCTTACTGGTATATAGGAAGCAAAGACTGCATTGGGTGCTAGTATATAAGACCCAGTGTTTTTTGGGGTCGGAGATGTTGCTCCAAACAAGGTAGAAGCTGTAGCAATATTTTGTTGACTCAGATCCATCTATTTGCATCGTTAGTGAAGTCAAAATCTAAGATTCGTGCAATGTATTGTTTAAGCTTCAGATTACCAGAGGAAGCATGTGTCTGACATCGTTTTTATAGCAGATTGGGGAAAAAAATGTGATATAAAATTGAAGGACTGGAGTTGTGAAGATTTGAGAAATGATGCAACGGTAACCCAAAACTATCTTTTTTATTATAGTACGATATATATATATACACACACACACTTGTAATTTTTCTATGTAAATGCTTTTAAACAAATGGTTTGTGCTTACATTTAAAATACTTCGAGTCTTAACGTCTTACTTCACAATAAGAAAAAACGTCAACACCCAATTAGCCTTTTTAAATATTAGTTAAACATAGTATAATGAATTATAAATATCATTAATTACATTCTTAAATCTTAAACTTAAAGGACACTGATCATATCAAGGATTGATCGTGATATTCCCAAGATTTAAGATCAAATGGACCACAAATGGCCAAATTTGCCCACATTGCAAAAGCTGAAGGAAAAAAAAAACACTTATTCAAACTTAGGGCTGAGATTTGTGCTTGTTCAGGAGGATTTTAAATTATAAGCAGTTTTGGTTAAAAATATTTTTATTGGTACATTTCTTAAAATCTAAAATTATTTTCCATTTTTTTGTTTACACATTCTATGTTATGTGATCCGTTGCTTAAATTACGATTTGAACACTCCCAAACAAGTTTTAGGATCCGTTTGATTGCAAAAGTGGAATTTGGGTGGAAATAAAATGAATTCCAAAAAATTGAATAGTCTAGAATTGTTTTCTTGGGAATTGTCAATTAATTGTGTTTGATTAGAATAATTTTTCACGTGAAAAATATTGAAATTTTGGATCTTTTGATGTTCGTTTGGCTTTGTTTTACGTGAAAATTGTCCATTAAAGGTATATAATTTGTTACAATTGGAGATAGAATTTGTTTTCATTACAAATAAAAAATAAAAAATAAAAAAAGTAAACTGAAAAATCAATTCCCACCAACCGTGTGAGCCAAAACCAAAAAAATGAATTGCCAAGAAAATTAAACCAATCAAACAAGCCAAAATCAAGAAGATGGAAATCAATTTCCAAGTTCCATGGAAATGATGCCAAATCAAACATGCCCTTAGAGTCTGTTTGATTGTAAGAGTGGAATTTTGGTAGAAAGAAAATGAATTCCAAGGAATTGTTTTTTTTTTTTGGAATTGTCAATTAATTGTGTTTGATTGGTATAATTTTTCACCTTGAAAATGTTGAAATTTTGGATCTTTTGGTGTTCGTTTGACTTTATTTTTCACGAAAATTGTCCATTAAAGGAAATTTTTTTTTTACAATTGGGTAT